AAGGATAATTGGAAGCATGCAGGCCTCCCTCGGCCTTTTAGAAGCCACTGGAACACAGCTCCCTTGCAGCCCTGGGGCTGAGATTCAGGCCTGAGGGGAGGCGGTCTAGAGAGCTGGGACTGAGGGAAGCTTTTGCCCCCCACCCCTTGCATCTCAGGATTGAATTAATACGGAAAGAGGCCTGGGGACAACCCAGAGGCTTCCCATTGCCTTTTAGTTTTGCTTTTTCTCCTTAACGTCTGTGCTCTGGAGTAGGAGAGGTGCCTTTGTCCGCCAGCACCTCCCACCTTCCCCAGCTTTCCCCAGGCGGAATGGGGCGGACCCCTCTCTTCCTGCTCATATGCACAGGCCGCAGGGTCCTGGGATGGGCCGGTGAGGGAAGCCCAGACTCCATCAGCCCCTGATTTTTCTCAGGAAGGGAAATAAGGTGCAGGCTCCCAGCGGGGTTGCCAGGCCTGGCCGCTGTGCAGCCCATCCCAGCACATAGCGCCTCCCCCCCCTCCCCCCCGCACCCTGCTCTCTCTGTCCAGAGATCTGCTTATGGAAACCTCATTCCTGAAAATGTGGGGCAGCAAAGGTATACATGTCCAGCTTGGGAGAGGCTCCCCTGACTCTACTAGGTTCTCTGACAGCCTCAGGTTCTTCTGGGGACTGGAAACCCCATAGGTGCCTCTTTGGGGTTCCTAGAATATCTCTTTTATACCTCCAGTAAGGTACCCCCAAAATTTTAGTTTGTGCATCCTAGAAACAACATATAACTGATTAGCTCCGTTGATTTGCATGGCAACACGAATGCGTTACACATTTGTAGTTCTCTCACATGTGACAGGAGCTCTCAGCGTGTGTGTGTGTGGGGGGGGGCGTGATGGGGGGTACAGAGCAGCAGCCACAGCACCTGGGAACTTGTTAGAAATTCAAATTCTTGGGCCTCATCCCAGGTTAGCCTGAAGATTGAGAACCACTGACATATGGCATCTCAATTGATTCTCGCAACAGACCTGCAGTTTCACATAATTCATATTTGACACATATAGTAACCAAGATGCTACAAATTCAGGATTTTTGCCCAAGGCTACAGAGAACTCAAGCGTCCAAAAAAAGCTGAGTACAGTATGCTTTCTACAGAAAACCAGGGCCAGTTAGCGTCTGTCAGCATGGCCACAGCCACACTGGTGGACCTGACCTTGGTCTGGCCCGTTGCTGTCGGTCCTAAGGGTTCAGGCTGTGGAGGGACCCTTCTCCATGGATGGAGAAACTGCCCCCGGAAGGTGGGTCAGTAGTGCCACACCCAGAGACAGAGGCCACTGGCCCGTGCGGTAGGTCTGCCCATTTCCTTCCAGAGGGCTGGTGGCCCAACTCCACATGTAGACTTGACAACAAGGAACCGCTCTTCTGGAGCAAATGCAGTGCAAAAATGAAAACACAGCAGTAAACATTTATTGAGTGCTTACTATACAAGCAATATTTTAAATATCTGTATATCTCATTTACTCTATGAAATGGACTCTATTATGGAAAAATAAACTGAGGTTTAGGTATACACATGGGAGAAATACGCAGGAATAATATTAACCTTGTTCATCCCATGTATTACCATTTACGACATACTTTTATACCCTTTCATGCACGCTCGTGTCCTCGGTCATTATCAGCCCCATTTTCTAGATGAGGAAACGGAATTGTAGTTGAACCATCTCTTGAACTCCCTTAAGGTTGTGAACTAAACCTTCCCCCTCCCCTGCACCCCCCACCCTCCCACCCCTGCTCAGAGCACAGCGGATCTCTGACGGGAGCCCCCAAATCTCCGCCTCCCCAGGCTGGATCCAGCTGTGACATGGTGTTAGCGAGCGGAGTGCACGGGAGTATGTATGGCTTTCAGCTTTAAAAGCTCATCTCCCTCCATGGCTAAGCCAGGCCTAGTTAGATGTAGATACATAAATATCTTCTTTATGCCCTGCCCCAGGGGAAAGATAGAACCAAATAAATCCGATTAGCTGCCCAGGATGCTGGCTGCTCTTGCTCTTTGAAGTCCGGTGGGTGAAGATAATGCCATTTTCATGTGGGAGAAGTCGTCTCGGAGGGCGGAGGGTCCCCAGCACTGAACGCTGGCGATGCACAGCTAAACGGGAGGGCGATGCCACTCTAAGACCATGGGGCTCCTGTGCCAGGGTCCTGCCCTCCCTGTGCTCGTGTAGCCTCCTCCCGGCCTCCCTGTGCCCCTGGGGTAGTCCCAGATACATCTGTTCATGCTGATGGCAACTCGGGTGGCTGCTAAGGAGGTGATGCTGCTGCCTAGAAACAGAATAAGATGACCTAGAGAGGCCGGTCCACGCTCAGGGGGCCAGTAGTAGCAATGGGCATTTTATTGATGTTAGCAACAGTCCTTACATCCCACGGAAGAAGAAGCATGGCATGGTTTTTTGTCTCTTGTTATTAGGACAGGAACTGTGTGTGTGTGTGTGTGTGTGTGTGTGTGTGTGTGTGCGCACGCTCACAGAAGCAAACAGGTTGGAGAGGCCTCATTGTAGCTGATGAAAGCCATCACCTTCCTCAAATCCCAGAGGTATTGCATTTCCGACAATTCGGCAATTTTCTGGGCCACCCGCTCCGCTGCGCCTGCCTTCCGCCCTGGCCACTGATTTCCACCCACGACTCGCTGCCCCCTCGGTGCTGCATCCTCCAGAGCATCTCACAGTCCCGGAGGTCCCTGTCTTCCCCTGTTTCCCAAGGAGGCAGTGTACCTGGCCACCAACCACTTTTTTCTTTTGCCCGAGAGACTAGCAGGACGAATCCTACTCTCTATGGCCTGAGAGAAGCAGCCAAATACACAAGCAAAAGCCTAAGACATCCTGTCTCCTGGGGCAATCTTGGAGCCCGTTTGGGCATTTGGGAAGCCCCTGATATTGTCTTTAAATGTAGTGCCAGAAGGTCTGAAACAGCGGACCATAAGGAATTTTTGTAAAATGTTTAGAATTTCTTAAGGAAAAACAAAAAAACTCCTAAGAGCCCTCATAAAGTCTCTTCTTTTGATTCTTTAATCTCCAAACTGAATCAGATTTAGCCCAGACAAAGAGCAAGGATGTGTACACGTGTGTGCATCTATAATATTACACATAATAAAACAAATCCCTATATAAGTACCTATTTTTGTCAAAGTTAAAAGGATTCTACAATCCTGTTTACTAACCCAAGACATTATACTTCCAAAAGCATATCTTTAACGCTCTGCTACTGAAATTTGAATTTGTTCTCTGGGCTCATTAGAGATGAAAAACAATGGCCATCATTTACAATGTGTCATCTAGTTCCAGTCTGAAGATTTATTCCACACCCCCCCTCCTCTCTCTCTCTCACACACACACACACACACACACACACACACTGTACCTCAGCCTCATTTCTAGTCTAAATTAACATTCCAATTTATTAGACTCGATGGGGATTTTTTTAGCCACTCACAGGAAGCAGTACCTCCTTTTCCATAGGACGCCTTGGTTTCCCTAAAGTGGTGTTTATTTTTTTCTTGGCTATAAATATATGAAAGACTCTGTCAAGAGTACCCGCAGGGAATGAAGGTGAAAACTCGGTAAAGAGCAAGTTTATGAGTTTGGCAGCTTGAGTGACTGGCTTCCGAACAGGGACCCCTCTGTCTGGGGTCGCCCTGTGACCCCGGCTCTCCTGGAAACCTCGCCTGTTTGGGAATTTTGCATGCAGGCTGACCCCGAAGGCCAGGGTCAGCACCTGGAGCTTCCATGCAGGGCCTCCCTAGATAGGGTTTCCATGGGAAAATTTCCCCTGGGGTCCCAGCTTTTCGAAAATCCTTCGGATTTCTTAAATAGACACGGGCATGCCAAGTTGGTAATTGTGTGATTCCAGAAACAATGACCACTTCCAACCCAGCTTTGGGAATCGAACTCCTTCTCAGGTGTCTTGATGTCATGAAGGCAGGGCTGTCCCCTCTGTAAAGAATCTAGAAATAGGCTCTAGAAGGAAAGTTAGAGATCTTTTTGTCTGCTGCTTTGTTTTCTCATTTTTCATTTACCCTCCCAGAAGCAATGACCAGGTATCCACTACCTGTCAGGAATGGGGTAAAGACTGGGGACACAAAGCCTGATCCTCAAGGCTCACAGACCAGTGAGAAAAGCAAGCCAACCAGAACCCAATTCTGAGGGCTAGATGCGATCAGGGGAGGATATCCGTAACCCAGCCTGGAGGCCAGTGCAGGGAGAGGGTCAGGGACAGCTTCCCAAAGCAGGAGATGCTGCCCAGTCAGTGTGGCTCAGTGGTTGAGCATTGACCTATGAACCAGGAGGAGGTCACAGTTCGATTCCTGGTCAGGGCACATGCCTGGGTTGAGGGCTTGATTCCCAGCGGGAGGTAGCCAGTCAATGATTCTCTCATCATTGATGTTTCTATCTCTCCCTCTCCCTTCCTCTCTGAAAACAATAAAAATTATTTTTTTTAAAAAAAAAAAAAAGAAGGAGATGCTGAGCTTGCAGACTAATTAGAGGCAATTAGCTAAAGGTGGGCCAGGAGGAAGATTGGGGGGTGGTGGGTAGGAGTGAGTGTTTCCTATAGAGAGAAAAGTACCTTCCAAGGACCAGAGGTGGATGAGTAAGGCTGGCCCCTCAGAACTAATCGTAAGCTCACATGGCTGGACCCTGATGCACAAGAACCCGCAGCGAAGGAGGTAGGCAGGGGCCAGGTTGTACAGGGCCTGGATCTGAGGCCCAGCTCTCCCCGATTCCCTCTATGGCTGTCCATTGCTAAACGTTGCCTGTTGAGCAGTGTTGGGCCTTAATAAGGCTCGCCACCAGCATTAGGACAATGTATTGCTTGTGACTGTGCCCCCAGGCACTCAATGCCAGTAGCTACCTCTGCAGGGTAAGGACATCAACCCCACAGACTCCCCAATGCCCCCTCTGCGAACCACAGTGGACGGGAAGGGGATAGGGAGAGAGGCACCATCTTCCAGAATTTCCCTAGTTGATCTCTGGAAACAGGAAATGGTTGCAGGGGGAGGTGACAGCCAGGTCCTCACTGAGCGAGGCTTCTGGACTCTGTCTTCCTTGGAGAGGGAGAAAGTGGACAGGAGACCGGGGCTGCGGGGAGCTGGAGATGCAACATCTAGGAAGAGAAAAGAGGAAAAGCAATCACTTCCTTTCTCAGGGTACTTCTCAGAGCCTCTCCCCATCAAGACGTGTGTGTGTGTGTGTGTGTGTGTGTTTCAGTTTTGTTTTCAGAGCAGCGTGGCATCCATGCAGGGCCTGGTAATGAAATGAGATAAAAGGCCAGAGCCAGTGTTTAGAGCATTGCTGGGAGGCTGACCAGCCTCCTGGAAAGGCCACAGTGGGAGCTGGGAGCTGAGGCCGCTGATAACAGACCGCCTCAGGCAGGGACTGTGCGAGCGGCTGGGGAGATGAGTGGAACCGAGAGGTGGGGGTTCCAGGTTGGAGGCAGGGGCGCATGGAGCCTCTTTCATCCTGTGTCTCGGGAGATAAAATCCGCAGCCTGCCACACCAGTGCCTGGAAATTAATTCCTAAAGGGTTTCACACATTCCAGATCCAGGACAACTTGTGGGTTTAGGAATAACAGTGTCAAGGCTGGGAGTTAAGAGATCGATTTCGTTTTTCCCTGCTGACTCCACGTGCCCCTTGAGGGAGGCATGTCTTTCTCCTGGGCAGCCCACCTGTACACCAGAGGGTCTGGGGCCTGGCATCGGGCCCTGTCCTCTGCCCTGGCTCAGGTGAGCAGGAAGGCGTGAGCTGGACAGACGGAACCTCTCTGCTTGCTCCCCCAGGACTGTCCCCAGCTGGTGCCCACGGAGGAGATCTTGATACCCGTCGGGGAAGTAAAGCCCATCACCCTTAAGGCTCGAAACCTGCCCCAGCCTCAGTCCGGCCAGCGAGGCTATGAGTGTGTCCTCAACATCCAGGGGGCCGTCCACCGGGTCCCCGCCCTGCGCTTCAACAGCTCCAGCGTCCAGTGCCAGAACAGCTCGGTAAGAGGACTCGGGCCTGGGCCCTGCCGGGAGCAGGGCTTCTCTCACCCCTGCCAAGGCCTCAGCCTGGCCTGCCCCAGCTTCCAGAACTTCCCAGGTCCACAGGCTGATCCCAGAGGCAGGGGACAGAGGAGCAGGCATGCACGCCGGGCCCCTCGGCAAGCACCAATCAGGCGATGGTGTCAGAGGAGCTGGAGTGCTGTGAGCACCCTAACGGCAGAGCTGAGAGCTCTGTGCCCCTTCTGAGTTGGATGGGTGCCTCTCGAGGACTTTGGCGAAACTTCAGCCAAAGCCCGTCAGACCCTGCCAGCCCCGTCCCCATTCAGGGAGTGGATAAGCCACCAGGAGGGCGCTGCACAGCAGAGACCAGCAGGAAGCAGGATGGGATGGGGGGAGGCGGGAAGGAAGGAAGTGGAGGCCGTGAGTTTCAAGAGCAGCCAGGGTTCAACCAATTCCGAAGGCCAGACAGAAAGCCCGAGGTGTTTAATTATAATAGCAGCCCGGAGAAGATCTTCTATCTGCCAACTCCCTGTCTCCGCAGGTGGGAGGTCAGCGGGAGATGGGGGTGACATGACAAAGGTGTTGAGGGAAGCTAATTCGCCCGGGAGAGATAAAGAGGATCTGGGCCGCTTATCAGGGAGCTGTCAGATTGCCGGGTCACAGGCGCTTGATGGAATTTGTAATCGGTGGAAGGCCGCCAAGCACAAAGGGAAGTTGGGACAAGAAAGAAATGGAACAACAAAGGGAGAAGGTGGCAGGAGGGGCTCCGGGCAAAAGGGCTGATGGGGACATGCCCTGAGAGATAAGTGGCCAGGGCTGGGGCGGTCCCCGCGGAGGGGGTTCCCAGAGGTCCCCTTCACAGAGACACAGGGCCTGGGCCACCGAGAGAGGCGATTTCTGACGTGGGGGGGGGGGGGGGCGGGTTACACGTCCTCTGTGGGGTCAGCACCATAGAGAGTCGACTCCTGGCCACAGCTTGAGGCCATTCGTGGCAGAGCTGATCAGGTATCTGCCCGTGAGGCTCTGGGCCCTTCCCTAGCAGAGTGTTGACCAAGGTCAAGCTCACGTTCAGGAAGAAAGGACCATGCAGGGCCCAGCCAACCGTGTGTTACACACATGCTCTGCTCAAGGCTCTGGGGTTTACAGGCGGCACATGCACCTCTGGAGAGAGTAGACTTGCATGGGGAACCGTGCAAAGCAGTCCTGGGTTAAAGGCAGAAGTTGGCAACCCCAGGGGACAGAGAGCCTAGGAGGGCTGGCAGGGGTGTCAGAGAAGACACCTGGGAAGGCGAGTCTGAGCTAGACCAGGAAGATAAGGGTGGTGAAGGACCATGTCATAGGGAGAGGGGGGCATTCCCTGTGAGGAGGGAATGGAGGCACGGGGGCGGGGGGGGACGTGGGCAAGTCGGTTTGCAGTCAAGTGGATTCAGAGACTTCTGGAGGAGAGCAGAGGGAGAGAAGGTTGGAGGAGTCGGTTTGGACCTGGAAGGCACTGAATGCCGAGCTAAGGGGTTTGACCTGGATCTTGTTGGCCTTAGTGACTGGGAGCCAGGGTGGCGGGCCACAGAGATATTTGAGCGGCACATGGGGTTCCTCTGATTGGCCCGCTGCTGCTTTCTCAGCCCAGGGAACCAGGGTCCCTAGCTTCTTTCCTGCTGTAGTCCCGGTCCCCTGAGACGCCCAGAATCCCTGCCCCCCGTCATAACCTCACCAGCATGTGCCTCTGCCCTCCCCTGCAGTACCAGTACGACGGGATGGACATCAGCAACCTGGCCGTGGACTTTGCCGTGGTGTGGAATGGCAATTTCATCATCGACAACCCCCAGGACCTGAAAGGTAAGCAGCTGCTTTTGGGTAGAGTTTTGATCCGTCCGTGACCCTGGGAAGGACCGGGGCTGGCGGGATCGGAGCCTGCGGCCGCTGTGCCATAAATAACACACTGCCTCTGTCAGCGGAACTCTTCCGAGGGTCCGAAAGCAACACTGGGAGCCATCAAAGGAGTCCTGTGGGGATCCCTGTTTTATTACAACCAGAGCATCCGCTGTGGCTGCCGGCTCATCGCGGTTTTCTTCGGCTCCCAGAGACTTTGAAGTGTCTGTGGAACCTGACCCAGGAGAGCAGCAGGCGGAATGTCCCACCAGTTTCCCTGGAAAATGGGGATCTTGTTTCCAATCAGGTTCTGGCCCCGTCCTTGCACAAAGAAGGTTTTCAAGCTGCTCTCCTGGTCCTGGGGTGGGTGGGAGAAGCCAGCGTGGGGACTCAAGTGCACAGCTGGCGCAGGAAGTTCAGGAAGGAGCTGGGCTGACGCAGGGGGACTCTCCCGGAGGCTCACCCTCATTCATCGTGTGCAGCGCCTCCTATGGGCCAGGCAGGTGCTACCCTCAGTTCAGTCAGTACCAACATTCCATCATGCTCTCAAGAATGACAAAGGTACCTCCAATTTGATGAACACGCATTGATTATTTTTTTAAATAGATTTTATTGATTTAACAAAGGAAGGGAGAGGGAGAGAGAGATAGAAACATCAAGGATGAAAGAGAATCATTGATCGGCTGCCTCCTGCACACCCCACATTGGGGATCGATCGAACCCGCAACCCGGGCCTGTGCCCTGACCTGGAATTGAACCGTGACCTCCTGGTTCATAGCTCAATGCTCAAATACTGAGACATGCCAGCCAGGCTGAAATTATTTTTTTAATCATTGCAACAACCCAGATAGGTAAGCACCAGTATTATGCTCATTTTATAGATTAAAAAACCGAGACCCAGTGAGGTTAAGAAATGGACCGAGAGTGCTCACTTCGACAGCACCTATACTAAGACTGAAATGATGCAGGCTGTATATAGCATGGCCCTGCACAAATGTGCCAATTCACAAAGTGTTTTGTGTTTTTAAGACAAATACTGTATGATATCTTTATATGTAGAATCTTAAACAAACAAAAAAAAAGGGCAAACTCATAGAAACAGGAAGTAGAAGAGACGTTACCAGGGCTGGGGGTTGGGGGAACCAGGGAGAGGAGTGTAAAAGGGTACAAACATTCAACTAGAAGATGAATAAGGTCTGAGGATCTAATGTGAAACATGGTGCCGTTAGTTAATAACACCGTGTCATATAATTGAAATTTGCAAGCAGCATAGAACTTACATGTTCTCACTATGTATATGGTGAAGGATGTATGTGTTAATGAACTAAATGAAAGGAATCCTTACCTTGTGTATGCGTATAGCAAAGCATCATGATTTCAATATGATACAACCTTATTTGTCAATTTACCTCAATAAAGCTGGAAAAAATAAAGGAAAGAAAGGGACCAAGAGTCAGCTAGTAAGAGCCAGGATTTGAACCACGAGAATCTGATGTCAGAGCTCACGCTGAACCACATCTCTTCCTTCCCAGTGACTAAGGCCACTGTGGGGTGTGACGCCTCCTCCTCCAGGACACCCCCGCCCCCCTCACTGTGAGCCACATGCCTCACCACAGTTCAAACAGCTAGGGTTGCCACAGGCCTCTCCCTGCGCCTGAGCGTCACCGCAGGGACACCGGGAGGGAGACCAAGGCCACAGCAGGGCCTGCAAAGGCTTCGGATCCATGGGCTGCAGCCCCCTGTCCCGGGCGCTGCCTGGAAGCCCATGCTGCTTACACTGGGGGAGAGAGACTGAGCCAGGGAGGATTTTGGGGTTTTCCTTTCTCCTCATACCCAGCCCACATTTTCTCAGCGCTGAGAGAGACATTTCCCCTGCTGAGCTTCTAGGCTCGGTTCCCAGAGGCTGCCTGTGCACCTGGAGCTTAAAGAAACACGGCCACATCCAAGCTGTCGCATCGGAACCCTCCCTTGTGGTGCGGGACAACATTTAAGCAGCTCTTGAGTGCACGGGCGATGCCATCTTCACCTCCGTCTCCCTCCCACAGCCCCAGTGATCCTGGAGCTACGCACATGCTGGGTGGAAGAGGCCATGGTGTTTGAGGACTCACGTTCTAGATTCTAACAAGCCAGGGTTCACGTCCTGTCTCTCTCACTCACAGCAATGTGGACTCGGGCTAATTACCGTTCCTCTCTCCGCCCCAGGTTCCCCGTCTGTGCCAGGGGGAAAGGATGCCCTTTTCGCAAGGTCATCCTGAGCATCCCATGAGAGCTAGACATGGCCCATGTGTGCACAGTGACAGGTGCTCAGTGTGTGCTTGCTCAGTGTAAGATTCCTGTTTCCTGGGATTCCTACCCTAGGAAGCCATGGCAGGTGGAGATTTAAATCTAGTCCCTACAGCTGGGACTGGGGATGCTGGACAGAGCAGAGGAACAGGATGGGAACCTGTGGGAAGAATAAAAAACGACACCTTCCCTGGGGCATGTACACGGCCTCCTGCAGAGACACGCCAGGACTGCTGAAAGCTGTGTCTGCTTGACTTGAGTTGAAAACCACTTTCCGAGTATTCTGCTTCTATAGATTCTACTTGGAACCCTGAGTTCAAAACACCAGCAGGCAACAACTAAACCCCAGGCTCACAAGACACAGTTCTGCTAACTGGCCGGTCAAGGGCTTCTAAGTCAGGAAATGCCATAGCAGCAGCAATGGATTTGCAGACTTTAAGGTGACCTGCTCAGTAGTGGCCACTTTGTCCTCTCCGGGGACAGCCTCTCCATCCACAGGGACATGAACAGGACTGTGGTAACCCTGTTCCTCATCAGGGCTGCCTCTACTTTGCCAGCCGCCAGGCCTTTCTGACGCCTCTCCCAAACCCACCACTTCCCACTGTGCCGGGCCAGGTGCCTCCCTGCTCAGGACCTCTGGTCCAGCAGCACAGCCAGTTGGAATTTCAGGATCCCAGCTTGGGGCACTCACCTTAGTGAGCTCTAAGAGCTTCATTTTTAAAAAATATATATTTTTATTGGTTTCAGAGAGGAAGGAAGAGGGAAAGAGAGATAGAAACATCAATGATGAGAGAGAATCACTGATCAGCCATCTCCTACACACCCCACACTGGGGATCAAGCCCACAACCTGGACATGTGCCCCAACCAGGAATCGAACCGTGACCTCCTGGTTCATAGGTTGACGCTCAACCACTGAGCCATGCCGGCTGAGCTCTGAGCTGCATTTTTATGTGAAATGGGGAAGTTAGTCCTTCCATCTCAGGATGAGGCCACATGTGAGTCAGAGAGGTACCAGCATAAGAAGGTAGTGTGTGTTCAAAGAAAAGATAACAAGCAGGTACAGAACATCAGGTATGTTACAGGCCCAGTGCTTAGCACTGAATATATTACATCTCACTCAAACCTCACAGCAAACGACGATTATCCCCATGTTATGGATTAAGTAAACAAGGTTCCAGGAGGTCAAAGTCTATGTCACATGGCTAAGGTGAAGCCTCCATTAAAGCCCTCATCTGATTCAATCTGGAGCCAGAACTTTTTAATAATCTTATTTGCTGCATTGCCTTTATTTTTAAAAAATGTATTTTTATTGATTTCAGAAAGGAAGGGAGAGAGAGATAGAAACATCAATGATGAGAGAGAATCCTTGATTGGCTGCCTCCCGCATGCCCCCTACTGGGGATCATGTCCTCTACTGTGGATCGAGCCCGCAATTGACTGGAATGGAACCATGACCTTCTGGTTCATAGGTCAACGCTCGATCCACTGAGCCAAACCAGCTAGAGCTCTGTATTGCCTTTAAATGATTGCTAAGATAGTCCACTTATTGTTAATTATTCATCAATTGTTCTTGCAATGATTGCGATGATTATTGATGTTTATCTGTGGCAGGTCGGGGAGCCAGCTGTCTTAGGGCAGAGGCTGGGACAGCCCTGTAAGCATTCTTTCCCGAGAGATAAATAAATGCACAGGGGAAAGTCAGTGGGCCTCGTCACTGGCCACATCCGAAAGTGCAATGGGATTGGAGAAGCCCATCAGATTATTGATGTTTATTGATGTAAGAGGAGGGTAAATTGTGGGAGGCCCCATCCCACCCCCTCTGAGACCGCCCCCCTGTCTTTGCAGTCCACCTCTACAAGTGTGCGGCCCAGCGGGAGAGCTGCGGCCTGTGCCTCAAGGCCGACCGGAAGTTTGAGTGCGGCTGGTGCAGCGGCGAGCGCAGGTGCACCCTCCACCAGCACTGTGCCAGCCCCTCCAGTCCCTGGCTCGACTGGTCCAGCCACAACGTGAAGTGCTCCAACCCGCAGATCACCGAGGTGAGTCCCCCCGAGTTCCAGAGCAGAACGGGATGGCCAGGAGCTGACCCCAGGGCAGTGGGACAGGAGCGCCAGCTGAGCCTTTGTGGACAAATTCTTGGCCTCTCGGGGGTGTCTCGATGGCCCACGTCCAGGGGTCAGTGACAAGCGTATGGAAGTGTGCCCTCGCGCCTGTGCAAGAGTGTGCGTGCACCCAACAAGGGAGGCAGAGCCAGGCCTGCTGGCCGGGAAGGGGGGCGGCACTGGATGGGAAATTGGCCGCGTGGTCGGTGAACGTTTCAGAAAGCAGGTTTCGCTTTTCTCAGCAGAAATGCGGGTTCAGCAGCTGAGATTAGCTCTGAGTTGCACGGCTGAACACGGAGGAAGTAAAGGCAGGCGCTCCATCAGCCACCATGCCATTTCCCAGGGTTTACTCTGTCCCAAGTTGTGTGTGCATTTTAATGGGAAGAAACAGGTAATTAATTATCCTGGGGGAAAAATGATGTTTCCTGAATAGCAAATTGCAAAGGACGATGAATAGGTGATGTGCATGGAAATGCAGCTGCCGGGGTTTGAACGGCCTGGGAGAGGCATAGTTGAATTTAACTTTGCCGGCGTTCACATATTCATCACTCTTCAATGCTCCCAACTTGCTGACTGTTACCTGTGCCATGAAACTAACTGCACGTTCCTCTGGTTACGAGGCATAAAAAGGCCTGGGCAGGTACCACCGTGGTCTGTGTTTGAAGAAGGCAGGGACGGGCTGCTCCTCTCCTACCTCTTTTCTGAGCAGAAGCTCTGTCCCTTTTCCTGCCTCCTTTTCACTTCCGGCCAAAGAAAGCACCTCTGCTCTCCTCTGTGTTGCCGGGTCCTGGGAAACCTCTGAAGCATCCTTATGATCATATCCAAGATGCAGAGCAGAGAAAAGAAAACCCTTGAGATCAAACGAATATTGTTCACCTACAGCTGGGTCATTTGGAGAGCGAGCACGTATTCATGTAGTGGCTTTGGTTGTCACGGTCTCAGGCAGTCCTCACAACCATTCTCAGCTCCATTTGACAGATGAAGACAACGAGGCTCAGAGGAAGGGAGTGAGTTGCCCAAGTTCACACAGCCGTTAAGCGTCAGAGCCCCAATTTTAGCTTGGATGTATTTAATTATAAAACCATTTTTAAAGCCTTTACTATTTTTGCTCAAGTTACATAAAACAAGCAGTGGTACTTCCCCTTCCTGTATATCTGACCTGTCTAGCTGCTATGGACCAGATAGAGGCCAGCCATCCACAGGGCAGCATATCCCAGGGGCAGTGCTGGGGGCAGATGGTTTCTGCACCCAGGCCCTCGGGCAACCAATAAGAAGGTGCTCTGAGACTGTAGACACTGCTTGTCAAAGACTGGGCTTCTCCAATCCCATTGCACTTTCGGATGTGGCCAGTGACGGGGCCCACTGACTTTCCCCTGTGCATTTATTTATCTAGCGGGAAAGAATGCTTACAGGGCTGTCCCAGCCTCTGCTCTCAGTCAGCTGGCTCCCCGACCTGCTCAGGGCTCCACGCCTTCACCCTGATTGTCATGATTTCCAGCAGCTGTTGGCCTGAAACGTGCTCTGTTCTGTAATTCTTCTTGTTGATGCAGTTGTGGCCTCTAGGTCTCTGTGCCTGTGTCATCAGGGCTCTTAAATGAGCCGGGGACTCCACCATCACCTCCCACCTCTGCCAACCCTGGCTGCTGCTCCAGCCCCATGTGTCTACTCCCTGACTGGCAGGGGCCCCCCTTCCAGCCCCAAGGCAGGCTTCTCCCCGGGAAACCTCTATCTCCACCGCCCCTGCTCACTGACCGGGGACTGACAGGCTGCTCTGCTCACAGAGGACACCCAGCTACACGATGCTAATTAACCCCCTGAGGTAATTAGGCTGTAATTGATTTTCCCAGAGAACATAGCAGCAGGAGCCAGAGGCCCTGAGCAGTGGGGTCTCCTGTTGGTGTTTTTCAAGCAGAGGCGGTGGAGAAAGGAACGTGCATGTTGTTGGAGAGACAAATCCATGCTGTGCCCCAATCCTCTGTGGGCAGATCATTCTGGACAGGACATGGGGGGGAAGGAGGACCCAGGCTTGGAACGTTTGACCCACTATTATCAGGAATATTTTTTTTCACTTTACATCTCCTTCCAACCTATCCTCCTCTCCCTATAAAAGCCATTTTCAATTTTTTAACTTTTAATTTTTGAAATAATTGCAGACTTAACAAAAGGCACAAAAATAGAACTGCCATGTACCCTTCACCCAGATTCTCTAAAATTAACATCTTACATAACCACAATGTATTTATCAAAATCGGGAAATTAACGTTGATGCAGTAATGCCATCTCCTATACATGCCTCGTTCATATTTTGCCTGTTGTCCCTCTGAAGTCCTTTTTTCTGGTCCAGGATCCAGCCCAAGGTCAAAGGTGACATTCATTGTCATGTCCCCTTCATGCTCTGATCATTCTTTGTGTTTCATGACCTTGATACTGTCGAAGGATACAGGCCAATTATCTTGTGGTTGTTCCTCAATTTGTGGATTTGCCCGATGTTTCTTCATGATTAAATTCGGGTTATATGTTTCTGGCAGTGAGCACTAAAAGAAAAAAATTGTAGGTTACATGTCAAAAGGGCACAGGAGCCAACTTGATTTGGCCCCAGTGGGCAAATCTGTGGCAATTTTAGCAAGAAAATAAATAATGATCCTAATGGGCTATAAGCAATAGAATAAAATAAGAATTTATGGTCCTCAGTGATATAAATAAACAACTCATGGAGGAGAGAGAAAACTCTTCTTTTTACTAGAATTTCAGCTCAGAAATGTAGAGGGAATAATGGAAATAGAAAACCATCGTTTGGCAAAATTCACAGTGATAATTGTTTGAGGCAAGAATGGCTAATGAATGTTAAAATTAGTGGATGAAAGTATGATGAGAAATAGGATATGTACATAGTCTCATGCTATCTCCCCCAAGATACTTATTAATTACAATAAGAAATAGTAACTTTATGGCAAAAACACCTGGCACACGCACCCTCAGCCACGGGATCAAAGTGAACTTCTTAGGAATGGGGAGACCAACCTCATGTGCCCCCCATAGGATGTGCTAAGAACATGACCTCATTTCTATGGCTTTTTTTCCCCCAAAATGTATAACTCATTTAAAGTAACTTTTAAGAAGAATTAACTTATTTTCTTTACCTCAGCTTTTTGGCCAATTCCTTGACATTAGGATAGGTCTTTTTTTTAATATTTAGTATTCTATGAGACCCATGCTCTTTTTCTCCTCCTTATCCCTGGAATTCTATGAGATACATGCCCTGTTTCTCCTCCTTGTCCCTGGAATATTCTATGAGATCCATGCCCTTTTCTCCTCCTTGTCCCTGGAATTGTATGAGACCCATGCCCTTTTCTCCTCCTTGTCCCTGGAATTGTATGAGACCCATGCCCTTTTCTCCTCCTTGTCCCTGGAATTCTATGAGACCCATGCCCTTTTCTCCTCCTTGTCCCTGGAATATTCTATGAGATCCATGCCCTGTTTCTCCTCCTTGTCCCTGGAATTCTATGAGATCCATGCCCTTTTCTCCTCCTTGTCCCTGGAATTCTATGAGATCCATGCTCTTTTTCTCCTCCTTGTCCCTGGAATTCTATGAGACTCATGCCCTTGTTCTCCTCCTTGTCCCTGGAATTCTATGAGATCCATGCCCTGTTTCTCCTCCTTGTCCCTGGAATTCTAGGAGATCCATGCCTTTTTCCTCCTCCTTGTCTCTGGCCCTTATGGGTATCCCCTCAGTGCAAGCCCACGTGCAAACGGAAGCCATTTCCTATGAAGAGGCTTCTTGAGGGGTGGAAAGAGGAGGACGCTATGACAGCTGTGAAGGCTGCTGGGGGCTGCAGAACTTCCAAAGCTGGAAACAAAGTGGAGCTGGAACGGGTGCTGACCTTTCCAGGGGCAGGCAACTCAATGAGATGCCCCGAATGAACGAGTTCTGCTTTAGGAAAAGGAGTGGGCCCGAGTTTAGTTAGATGAACAGCTGTGTTCTTCCTTGATTCCCCCCTTACCCCCCGCTGTCTCCATGACAACCAAGCCCACCCCTAGAGACCCATCTCTTATGGAGGTTTCATGTAAGACAAGTCTTACAGCCTATCGAATTTCCCAGTTTGCATAAACTTCAGGTTAGGACCCCCTCAGGACTCGCCGTCTGCTCCTTCCCAGCCAGCCCGTGTTGTGATAATGACGCTGTCCCCCGTGGGAGGCATCCCCGGCTGCTCCCACTCCAGCTGTCATCCTGGATGTCTGTGCACGTGTCACCTGTTCAACCCCAGGAACAGGCGACGTGCAGAGGGTTGGAAAGCCCGGGAGGGGAGGTGCCTGGCCCATCGCGTTTCTGTTCTTCCCAGCGTGTGCTTCGGGTCCTGCTGGGACCTCGGAGAGGGGGATGTGACGCGCCACCCACTAGACAGGAAGGCTCAGAAAAAACATTTTCCAAGAGGCTGTGAGTGGGCAGCATCCAGCAGAAAGGGGAAAGGATACAGACTATGTTCTTTGGGAGGAGAAATTTGGGAAGGTCAGGGGCTTTGGGGCTCATGTGACAGAGGTCTCCACTCAAAGTGAATGTATTAGTTTTAGTTTGTTAGGGCAGCAGTTACAAGACTGGGCAGCTTAAACAATAGAAATTTGTTTTCTTATAGTTCTGGAGGTTAGAGGTCCAAGATCAAGGTGTTGGCAGGGTTGGTTTCTTCTGAGGCTGTGAGGACAGTCTGTTCCATGCCTCTCCCCCAGCTTCGGGGGTTGTGGCAATCTTTGGCTTTCCTTGGCTTATAGAAGCATCACCCCAATCGCCACCTTCATGTCCACATGCTGTTCTCTCTGGGTTCATGTCTGTCTCCAGCTTTTACAACAATAAGACCTCAGTCATGTTGGATTAGAGCCAACACTAAGGCTCCCATTTGAACTTCGTTACCTCTGTAAATCCTGTCTCCAAATAAGGTCCCAGT